GAGCTAAGAGGAAATAGCCAGGAAACAATTGCTTTTTTTAAAAATTCGATTTGCATACATAAAACACAAAAAATTAAGTAGGATTTTTCAAGTCTGAGGTTTTGCTAAACAGCAAACAGAAGTCATAAATCATGTGGAGTAACTGCTGATTAAGTATTCAACGAAAATGATATGATATTCTTCTTGTGCGAATAACACGGAGTCAAACAAGGTGTTAACGTTCACTCAGAGATGTTCGGATACATCAACAAATCGTTCTGTGTAATCACCAGGATAAATAGTATGAAATCCCACAGCACGGAAGAGAGGCAGGGGCAGTGGAGAGCGTCAATGCCCACAGACGGGCTGAGCTTTCCTTGGGTTCTCCAACCCCCTCTTACGCACAAATCACAAGCGACGTTTTCAAATACTTTAGCACTGAACAACTGTAGGGTTTACATGAAAGAATTCACAGAGACTAATTTTTTTAGCTTGTCTTCAGTAAAACTTCAGGGAATTGTATCTTTATTATAGAGGAAACTTTGCCCAGACTCATTGAATGCCATTTAAGAGCAACCATTACTACACAGGCAACTTGGCCGACATCAAGGTGAACACTTTCATTTTTAGCAGAGATAAAACATGGAAACACAGGTCATAGAATGACTGAAATTTTCTCATGTGCTACACACCCAGCTAACAAACTACTGGTTTAGCTACTGTAAACAGCACACTTTTTTTTTTTTTTTCCAAATCTAAGACTTAGAAAATTAGATTTTCCAAATTATTTAAGACCTGGATATTTAAAAACAGGATAAAAGCATGACTTGTTAGGAATACACACTGAGAAGCTACATTTCATGTATTTTAAAACCTTGAAAAATGGTAAAAGGCATTCTTTTTAAAAGGCTTCTCTTTATTTTCATGTGCAAAATAGAAAAGTAATCAACATGCTAGGAAAACAGCACTTTATCATCTTCATGAATAACCTTTTTATGATTTTACCGAAGTTAAAATTCATATGGAACCATTCCAAAGCACTTTAAAATAAGATACAAGAAATTTTAAAAGAGAGTCTAGCCAGCCAGCGTGCATACCACAATTCCCCATTGCTCCTCCAACTGAGAACAACTCAGTCATAATTATAAGCAACTTAATGGCTTTGCCTATTGGAAATCCAGTGGACACAAAGTCCGCCCAATGAAGATCACATGCAAGCCCCAGTCTATGCATTTTCATCCAGGGGGGGAATCCCAAGCCAGATAAATGTGTAGGAATATAAATTAAATAAAAGAATTGGCTAGTGATGTGGATGATGTTAGAAAACAGGTGTATGACAAGCAAGATTACTTATAGCTAATCTCTCCTGGTCTTGGAGTACATCTCTCTACTACCATTTTTACCCGATAACAATTCTGATCTAAGGCAAGTACATCAACCAAGACAACTCCACAGGAGTCGAAAACTTATGGGGGAAAGTGGGAAGGGACAAAAAAGCAAGATAATTAGGGAGCAGATGACAAAATTATAGACTGATCCTTAGACAATTACTCAGATAGATGAAGTTACACTAGATGCTATCACAATTATCACAAAGTTACCACAGTTACAGTTTTTTACTCTAATCTTAAACATAAATCCATTAGATGTTGGGAATTAAATTACTCCTGGAGCCCATTTATTTCAGTTATTTTAGTAGAAGGACATGAACATATGGTGGAAATTTGTCCTTGCCTAAAATTACTCTGCTTGTACTATGTACATTAAAAACACGCAGACAGGGAATGGCACTGCCAGATGTAGCGAAGGGAATAAGAGTTTAAGAATGGGGGTGAAAGAGGGAAATGCTTCCTACCATCCCTTTCACACATCCTAATGAAATACCATTTGCTGGAACAGTAAAAATTCATAGCACTTCAAGGTCCAGAAGGACTAGCCACAGCTGTGGTGCATGTACCCACATTAGGAATACATGGAAAAAAAAACAGGAACAGGCACTGAGAAGTGAGAAGTCTGACTCAGACAGATAACCTGATACTGTAAAGCAGATGTGGGGTGAGAAAGACATGCAGATCCACCAGCATGGAGAGGTATAACATGCAGTCAGCACCATATTGCACTGACGGAGTAATATAATGTCACTGAAGGAGGCAACATTTCTGTAGTGAAAGGAGATAAATATCATGTCACTGGTATAGAAACAAGCAAGCTACACGGGGACTCAAGAGATTTCTCCCCCCACCCCAAGCTTCCCCCAAACCAAAAAGAAACACAACTGAGAACAAAGGAAACAAGAAACGGGAGAGATCTCTGAACTAGAGGTGCTGCCTGCAGATAAGAATGAAAGGCTTTCCACTAAGAAATGAGACAAAGATTTCCACTAAGAAGTGAGACAAAGACAGAACAACAAAACACAGGAGAACACGGACTGTCAGGAGACAGTTCTGACCAGGCTGGTATATTTTATCATTTCTTTACTCATTTGCATCCCTCCCCTTCCAATATCAAGAATACAAAGGAGACCTTGATCTACCCAAAGTCCTATTTTTGCAACTACTTTGTCTTTCAGTTCAGAAAGGACTGCAAACTTTCAAAGACTGGAAATTCCTCTGGCGGTAGTCCTCGAAATAAAAATACCGTGCCAATAACAACCCTGGAGGTCACCTCTTCCTCTAGCTCAAGAAGAATGGAGAATTCAATAGAAAATATTCTAAAGTCTCTAGAGCATTTTGGTGGCCAACAGAAGAGTAACTGTAATTCAAAACCACTGCAAGACGATGAGCCATACCAGAATTATTTTCTGAACTATCAAAAACTTGTTCATTTGCATAACATGTAAGGACAGAAACAACAAAGAGAAATTAATTCCTTGACACTGGAAACCAGAATTCTGATTTTCAACTGAAACGACAAGATCAAGCATTTCCAAATTAAGAAGAGAGCAGACAATTTAGTGCTGTTTCCCATTTCTGAGAAGCCACATTTCAGATGGCAAAGTAGAACAAATAAAATCCTTATTTATTTATTAAAGCCAATATATAGACTCTTGTAAACTCGGGACCATGAGTATCTCATTGAAGAGCTTCCAGCTATACAAAAACAGATCGATGTCCTTGAACTGAAAAATACAGCATAAAGCCAAGGACTGCACAGAAACAGAGGCCACTTATTCAGGCATCATCATTTTCAGCACATACAAAAATTCCCAACGGAACAAATGCTTACAGTGCACTCTTCTTTAGAAAACAACTGGAAAAGTATTGGGGAATTCCATATTGACGACATCTGTTTTCACTGTCTGTATTTTTCCTCAGTTTATAAACAGAGGACTTGCTCTTTCCACCTGTAACCTGTTAAAGTTATCCTAGGTACTGCCAGTCAAGATTATTTCTCTCATATCACTACCATAAAATTTTAATTACAATTCTTTAAGCTCCGCTAGCCTCTCAATTAAACTTACATGCTCCCAGCCTTCAGTTTTTTATAAGCATTCATCCCTGTACAATGGTAAACTGATTCACTCAGAAGACCGACAAGGAGGTGCGAGGCTTACCTCATTCAGAGTCTGCTGGTGCAGACCAGCGCCCCATGCTCACAAGCTGAGGTTCTGTGGGAATGGAGAAAGACGCAAATTTGGGAAAACAGTGGTGACAGAAGAGACAGTTACAAGCAGCCGTAGGAAGAAATATTCTCCTTCCTATTGCTTTTGTTCTTTTTGTTGTTGGGGCCCTCTGAGATGGGGGGCACAGGAGGAATCACATCTCTTTTGTTTTCTCTTTTTCCTTGATGCTGTACTTAATTTCCTTTTCTTGTGCTAAAGGTTAGAGGAAGGAGAAAGTATTGTTATGGGGAATAAGAAGCCAGAGGTCTAAGGCAGTTGTGGATCCATTCATAACAGGCAGGAGACCAAGAATTATGAAGAAATGAATCATCTGGGACGTATGCTTTCCAGGTATTTTTCTTCCAGTTATGAACGTTGATCGTAACTGCAGAGGAAACGGCTGCTACTAGGACAGACAGAACAATCAATTTCTTTTTCATTTTGGGCTTTTTATTTGAAACTAATTGAAAGACCAGAACAACAGCATTTATAAAAGGTACCCAGAATAACAAAGAATCTTCTGTTGATTTCAAGTCACATGTTACTTACATACAGAAACCATTTGATTTTGGTAGCTTATAGTCATAGTGATATTGAGCAAAGGCACCTGCAACTGTCTCGGTTGCACATGCACTGTAGTAATTATGCATGCAAATGAGGAAATTAGATATTTTTGTGGTTGATCACCAGTATAATTACTATAACTGAATATACGATCATGGTAACTGTACACACAAATTACACATGCATGCAGTTTTAAAAACCAAGCGTTGCATTCATTGTCTCTATTTTGATAATGTCCTATGGAAACACTCCTCCACTGGAAACAATTAAAAGTATTAACTTTTTAAAAGATGTACATTTATTTGACTGTCTACTGAACATTAAAAAAATATAACAATCCAGTAATTTTGTTTTCCAAGCTGATATATCAGCAAAATCTCACCACTGTCATAAGATTTACCAACTTGAAAAGAATAAGACATTTAAACATATCCTGTTATTCCTCCTTTTCATATGTATTTATTAATTTGTAACTTCAATAAGATATTAAAGGATAGGTAATTATTTGAAAAAATAATGCATATGGTCAAAATTTTTTAAAAGACCTGAGCTAAATTTCCATTAGCTCCTCAGAACTCTAACAGAGGTAAGTGGAAATATTTTAAAAGTTCAGATTTTTATCAGCCTAAACACTTAAATATACAGGATTTGATTATACTTCAGACCAGAAGAGTTGGTGCATTCAAATCCATAAAAGGTATTGTTTTAAGGTACATAAACAACAACATGGAAAATATGCTTTCATCTCTCAAGCCCAGATTTTGATCCATCCATATTAAAAGAAGGAACAATTTTGCTAGGGCAGAAGCATTTATTATGAAGTATTTCAAATAATATGACAGAAGTAATAAAATATTTAGATATTGCTGTATTCTGGCAGATCACGGCGTAGTCGTATTGCCTTCAGCTTCTCTACTTTGATTTTTGTTCGCAACAGTTCTTCTTCCAGTTGCTGCTTTCTTTTCAAACCATCCCTTTTTTCTTGGACATAAAGACCAATTTTTCTTTGATTTTCTAATATTATTTGATGCTCTTCTTTCAGCATTTGTAACATCTGTGGGTCATACCCACACATTGGTCTAAAGCGTTCTCCAACCTCAAGCCTAAAAAACTCATCTCTTCTTGGTACAGGAGAGGGAGACATCATCACTCTCATATCAACTGACGATACTGATGTTGAAGGAGACCTTTCCATAATATGCACCAGCTGGTGTTCTTCCTCTTGTTCTAAGTTCTCATTTTGCTGTGAGTCTATAATCAAAGAAGGAGGAGGTTTGACATCCTCTTACGATTGCAACTCCATCATGACTGTCGCAGGATGGTGATCCAACATTGCCTGTGGTGAACTGGTAGCAGCAATTGTTTCTTTATCGATACTAGCACTAGAACACACAAAATCATATTTAAATAATCCATTAAAAACTTTTTTTAAAAGGCGTAGCTGTAAGTAACCAAAGCTTCATTTGAAATACTACTCTGCTATCTATGCCTGGGACTCTACTTCATTACATGAACACCACCTGTACCCCTCCTCCTTTCCACCACACGTATAGAGCCCTGTCTTACTCAGATTCGATCGCTATAAAGGCAGTATAGCTGACAGAGAACTACCCTGGTAGGCCCTTCTTCTGACACCAGCAAAGCAAGAAGGGGTACTAGTGACAAATGAGAATAAAACCAAAGCAACAGTGATGCAAGTGACAGAGGAAAGGGTTTATATAATATATAACATGATTTTAAAGGGGCATAAATTTAGATTGAGTGGACTGTGGCAGAAACATTTCCATCTTCCAAACTTATTTGTCTCCTCCTGTTCTAATGTGTTACCCACTTCTGAATTGTATACCCAAGTATTTGGGTTTTTTTTAACGTAAAACAATCACTGAAAAAATTACGCAGAGCCTTGGGAGAAGAAACCAGAACCAAATGATGACCCTGCCAGTGGATTAGGGAACCAAACTAATCCTTGCTCCTTCTCTTTGATTAGGTGATCTCAATATTTTTCTGAAGTTTCAAGAGAAGACATAAAAGTGTTTCCATTAAGAACAGCCTATAGTTCTGTGCATTTCTTTTTGAAAATACAACACCCACCTGACTCATCTGTCTTTGTGTAAACCCCTGAGTCAGCAGCACCTCAAATCGTGATTTGACATTACACTGGCTTTGATGGTAATAGTGGCTCAAGCTGTTCCTGCCACTTCTCTACCATCAGCTGTGTTTGAAACCCTACACTTCTGCACATCACTCCTTTATTCAGGTAATGCTTTTTTAAGCCAGATCAGCTTCTTGATCTATTTTACAGTACAGATCTACAAAGAATACTTTCAGCATGACTGCAAAGGCAGTATAGAGTAACATGGGAACAGGAATATATTAACTTGGCACTGATAACGAAGACAGTGCATCATCATCGCCCTGACTGTCTAAAACAGAGGCTATAACCAACTGGTGGTTGCAGGTAGGAGACATTCCCCAACCCTTGAAGAACTCAGCTGCTGCTAGCAGCTAAAGGCAGCGAGTGTATCCATGATTAATGGAACATTCACAGTGCTCCCCAAGCCTGGAGGACTTGAGTTGCTGTCTATTAAAATAGGGGGTGGGAGGTGTTTGTTTACACTTTTTAAACTCCTTTTGAGCCCTACAATTCACAAATTGAGAAACACTATCTGATTATTAAAACACTGTCCTGGTTAGCAATAGATGTGGGTACACAAAGGAGAAATTTAATTTGTACATCCTACTTCTCACATAAATGCAGTAACTCCTTAATCAAAAGGTGGCATGATCATCTCTTCTGCATCTCCCATGGTCTTCAAAACTCTTGGTTTAAAAGAAATCAGCAGTCATGATTGCAATTTCCAAAGGACCCTGATCTAGCCTGCCATCCATTTACACAAAAGTGCATCTTCTAGAATAAAAGCATGAAGTAAAACATTCAACAGGGTCAGAGCACTATATTTTCCAAAGATCAATCCTGTCAACCACCCAAACTATTTTAACTAAAGATTTATTTAGAAAAAGAAAAACCAAAACAACAAAAAGGTCCAGCTGAAAGATGTATTGAAAATAGACCTTTCATTTATTCCCCAAAGAAAACGCCAGGATAATCTTAATTCTATTGACTGTTACCTGAGCTGCCTATAGAGTAACAATTACATCACCTTACTCCCTCCTCCTCATGCCACAAAGCTTCACTTTTTCCTATATACCTCTTTCTCACATTCCTTTTACTCCTCTCATTGAGCATCGGAAGCATTATCCTGCACACAAATTTTCACTTGTTTTCCCCAGTGCTGACTGTAATTCTGGGTTTCCCCCTCTTCACAACCGCAGCTTCTAATACAGCTTCCCTCCTTCTTATTTGCTGGCTCCCAGCCAGCTTCTAGCCTGAGAAAAGTGGAAACAACCAGCAGGAGAAGCAGGTCATTCTGACAAAAGGAAACAGAGAAAAAGCAGAAAGAGAAAGTGAGAGAGGTTAAAGAGAAGAAAGGTAGGTACGATTTAGTCTAACATAGACTAGAGCCTCCAAACACTGAGAAATCCATCTTTTAAAGCATAATCCACACTGAACTAGAAAATCACCGAATCTTCAGGTAACTCTGACGAGGTGCTGCTATTTTTTTTCCCCCCTCCTTAGAGTCAGTCTCTAAAGAGGAAAACAATTAGACAGCAAAGAGAGAAAGAAGGAATTGAGAAACAAAAGAGCCGCCCGTATGGTGGTTACTAATGTTGTTTCTGACAACTTGACTGAAAGAAAGACAAACAACAGTTACCACAATTGGGGGATGGTGTTTATAACCCTGCAGGCACCCATGATTCACCAGGTTTTGTTTAATCACAGCGAGCTAGAAATTGCTTAAAGGTGCGATTAAGAATTTGGATTCATTTTAAGTTGTATTTCCCTCCTACAAAACCTAAGCCATATCCTGGTGAGTTAAAACCCAATATAGAGTTTTGAAAATTAGGGTAAAATGCAACTCAGAGGTAAAATTAGAACTATCAAATAATGATGTATTTGGGCAGGGGAAAAAAAAATAATCTTTTCAATGATATTCTTTTCCTTCAGCACACATCGTATTGGCTGTTCCTATGAACAACCATTTGGGGCACGCAGTAATCAAGTCAATGTTCCCAGACCCATAAGGGACTGCAAAAAATGTTTAAATTTTAGGAGACAAACTATGGAGTTCATTAGCTCTTAATCATTCACAAAAAAGCGTCAGTGCTTTTTATAAGCCGATCTACAAACCAAAGTTCTCACACTATTTTTTTTTTTCCTCCTTACAAAACTTGGTAGTCAAGACACTGCAACCTTTATTAGTGCAATTAAAAGCCTCGTTTTGTTCCAGAGAATTCTTTGGAACAGTTCCTCCAGGGGCATTCACCAGGAGCAGCAGCACAGCCCAGTTGCTTCAGACTTCTTTACGCAAAGGACCCACAACAGCATATTTTTAGAGCATCTGGCACATTGGGATTTAGACAATTGTTACCATTCAGCTCAACCAGTGGCACCATGAATCCAATTCAGCGTGTGTGCGCATGCCAGCTTTTCTTAGAGTGTTACGCTGCTGCACCGACTATCAGTATATCTGATTAAAATACGGAAAGTTCGCTTCCCATTAATCTGCTTGGGAAAATAAGAAAAATCAGAGCTTTCTCAAGGTTGCTGCGGAGTTACTTGACTTTTTTTTCCCCCTCCTCCCTAGCTTAGTTTTTGTATCTGGAGGAACCAAAACCTGACCCAGGCATTTTCTGATCCCTCAAGGACCAATACAGAACCAGCAGAGTGTTGCAAGTCAGATATGAGGGGCATTAGCCAGCTGTGGGAGAAAGCCTGCATGCTGCCTGCCTGTATTATGTCTGGCTCAAATCTAGACAGTGTGTCTCACTTTACTGAGCAGTAAAAAAAAAAAAAAAATCCTACAAAAAAAGAAAACTTCTAGTGTTGTACCTCTCAGTTTCTCCCTGTATTTAAACTACCTAACATAAGATATAGAACTGCTCGGAGTTTAGACTGCAATTAGCTTTGCTCCAGTTTCAGAGAACCACCGTCAATGCTAGAAAAGTATAATTTAAAAAAACATTTGCACTCACAAAGGCACCGTGGTGTGGGGAGTCAATATTTTTTTTTTTAAAGGATTGGGATCAGTTAAATCATAACATGCAAACGTCAAAGTAAACGAGAGGAAAAAAAGGTGTAGGAGTAAGGTTTCTTAGCTCTGTGAACTAACTTTATTAAAAATCTTATATAAACTGGTAATAGTTCCATATGTTGCAAAATGACTGCAGTATTACCTTAAATGGAGGAGAATAGCCATCACTTTGCCAGTGTTTGAATAATCTGCCTATTAAAAGGTAGGGGAGGGGTGGAGATTGGAGCTACTATTTCTCTTTGATTCTCTCTTAACCCTCACTTTCCAGAGTATGACAAAGACTCTGAAACAGGCTTTGAAAGAGAGCTGAAAAAAATGAACGCAGTGCTAAGTCACCATAAAGCTTCCCATAAAACAAAAGCAATATTATTTTGTCATTGTTCCCCATTTGGGGATTTTCTCTGATAAACATTTCCTTTAGGAGCCTGAACACAAGCAAAGCGTTACAGAGTAGATAGGAGGCGCCATAATTTTCATTCAGTAACAAAATAAAAAGAATCGTCTCACCTTTGAACACCGCTCCTGTCTCTTAAACACACATTGGAAATCTGTGGAATCATCTCCACAACTTTCTTGGTTGGCTCGGAAATGCTGCTTTTACAATCTGAGTGAGTCTCCTTTTGCTGCAATAGCTCCTGTTTGGCATATTCTTTGAGCCTCTTGTACAGCGTGCGCAGGCCCTGTGCAGTACGAGGAGGGCGATCTACTCCGATGGCATTGTAGTTATCAGCTATGATATCCCAGCATTTGTTTTTTTCCACTATTACAGAATGCTTATTGGTATGTTCCTCGAGAATTTTAACGTACGGCTTCACGAGTTTTAGCAAATCGAGCTTTTCAGATAAGGTAAAATTAGAAGATCTGGCCTTCCCAACCATTGTTATCTTTGAATTAAGGAAGCCGTTTCTGAAGCCACCATGCAGTCCCTAGCTCTGCTCAGCTCTTTTTCACAAACAGAAAAAGATCAGGCTTAACTAGGCTAGTCTCATTTAGGCCCACGCCTACAAGGGAGGGTTTATTAAAATTCCTTCAGCTTAAGCTGACGCAGGTTCAGGAAATCTGCTTAAGCCAAGCCTGACCTACATAAGGCTTCAGACTGAAGAAGTCGAGAAGAAACAAGCAAAACGCACTTTTGTATGAAGAGACCAGACACACGCAGGATTTAAAAACATAAAGGTTTAAAGATTAGCACGTTACCCAGCTAAAAATTACCTAATTTAGCCGGAGTAACAAGCTCTGACACATCTCCCTAGCTCTCTCACACGTATCTCAGACTGAAACCGCGCTCGAGATGATTTTACATGTAACGACGGTCCCGTGTCGCTCCCCCCCCTTCCTTCCCCCCTCCTCCC